GAAATATTTAGTGTATACAATGTTTCGTTATATGAAGAACTTCATTAAGTCACTAATATGATAAAGTTCAACTCAGAACTGTTTACCTGGAGAGAGTTCCGGGGGACAACGCCCCCGCGGCCCGGTCTGTGGCCAGGTCGTGTCATATTTGTCACCAATATTCCATAACATTAAGAATTAGCTGAGAGTGATTTTATTTACATTATGTAGCGAACGCTAAAAATATTCATGCATAAAATAACCTTAATAATGTATAATTGAATAATATAACTTGAAAACTATTGGTAATGGCGAGGGAGGACGTAAGGTAATTCAGGATAATTGTTATTAATATCGGTTTCCTAATGAATATGTTTACATTTATCTGTTTATGAGAGAGACTTCAGCTGCATCATATGTTTTTTTTTTTTTGTTTTTTTAATCAAGGTTTCCTTAAGCCCAGCTTCACTGCATGCAGACTGGGCTTAATGGAATCTCATTTTGTAAATTCAAGGATATCCTGAGAGGGTTTATGTCCGTATCGGCAGAGATTGTCAAACATAGGATATCAGGTTCTGAAAATGTGCACACCCGCATGCACGTTTACGTACATAAGACACACACACAGACACACACACACAGACACACACACACAGACACACACACAAACACACACCAAGAGTTATGACTCGACCCCTGCAACCACAATTAGGTAAATGCACACACACACACACACACACACACACACACAAACGACACTATAGACAGGTGAACTGCCAGATAGCTGGAGCAAAGCGTATGTTGCTCCAGTATTCAAGAAAACAATCTTAAGTTAAAGAGCAGAATCCCTGCCAAGAATCTCATTTAAGATGATGGAGAAGATAATATACCAGAGATAATGTACCACCTGGATGGTATGGGTTCCATCACTGAACGCCAACACTGGCAACACTGGCTTGGGAAGGTAAATCCTGCCTCTAAAACTTAATAGAGGCCTAGGCCAGGTTGAGATATTAGGCAGGAAAGAAAAGAATGAGCAAACTGCATATTACTAGAAAGGGCCTTGACGCTGTGCCTTTTTGAATAGTATACACAAGTAGCTCATTTTGGTATAGTTGCCATGAAGGTACTTCCATGGGTGAAGGATGGTTTGAAAAATAAGCTAGAAGACGAAATTAAACCATACCACGGGTGGGGGTAGAACCCGCGATCAGAGAGTCTCGAAACTCCAGACCGTCGCGTTAGCCGAATTAGTCGCTGTGATCAATGAAGGATTTCCATGGATAATAATTTGTGCTTCCACACAGTGTAGGATCAAATATTTTTTTATGCGCATATTGTGACTAAATATGTTAGAAAACTCTTCAAACCGCAGTGAAACGTCGAAATATAGAACGTTCTTCAGGGAAAGGTCTTAGAACCTACGTTATTTCTACAATTTGTAGACTTCCTACCGTGGGTAGGAGAGGAAAGAATGCCATAGGAGGACCTAAGGCGAGGTGGACAGAGATGATTCCAAATGGCGTACGGCTGACAGTACTTAAAAAAGGTACACGTTGCAACAAACGATGCAACTTGATCAAGAATCATACAGAGCAAAAGGAGATCCCAGTAAAATTGTGTTCTGCAACATTTCTTTGCGACGTGGAGAGAACTGGAAAATCAACACTTAGCTGAACAAACGATGCCTTAAAAATTATTTTTAAATTGTTACATTAATAAATGATCTGAACGACCTTGAAAGAGACTTATTCGACTTTGATCTCATTAATTCATTCAGATGCAACATAATAACATCAAGCCATGCCAGCCACTCAGAAGACAGAACTCTCGCCATCACCATCACTGGAAAGCGTTAAACCCCTTGTGGGTCATGCAGCGCCTGCGGAAGGAGAGGCAATCAAGTTTGTCCCAGGAAGAGAGAGAGCAGTTGCCTCCCAGATACGGAGATTCATCCCCATACAAATTCACCTTGATAAAGTCAGCCACAGGCATAGACATCATTTCGCATATAACCAAATTTTGCATCCTTCAGAGGATCGTGCCTTCATGCTGATGAAATTCCCTTGGTCCAAGAAATTGGATCTAACCTTCCCGTCATAACTAAAGCCTTTATGAGTTTAGCACTTCATAATCATCATCATCATCATAATAATAATAATAATAATAATAATAATAATAATAATAATAATAATAATAATAATAATAATAATAATAATAATAATAATAATAATAATAATCGAGTCTTGATTGAGCTACATGATTGGATTTTGTTATATTACTATTGATTCCGTGAATAGAACCAGGATTTTGGAGTAGTGGGGATATATTACAAACGATTGGCAGAGCTGGAGATAAATCAGAAAGGATTAGCAGTCCTGAAGATATATTATAAATGATTGGCAGTGATGTAAATATGAGAAAAGAATGGCAGTGATTACGATAGTTTGCAATGGATTTGGGAATATGGGAGATAGATATGGAATATTCAGAATAATTTAGGAATGTATGGGGAAGAGATGGAGAACCATTAATGATGGGTTAGAGGATATTAAAGATCGTTTATCTTACACAAATAACCCGCACATAAAAGACAGAAGCTTACGACGACGTTTCGGTCCGACTTGGACCATTGACAAAGTCACACTAACAGAGGTGGAGCAGGACGGCTATATATAGGCAGGAAGAGGTGGAGGTAGTAGTAGTGGTAGTAGTAGTAGTAGTAGTAGTAGTACAAGAATTGTATACAATTCTTGTACTACTACTACTACTACTACTACCACTACTACTACCTCCACCTCTTCCTGCCTATATATAGCCGTCCTGCTCCACCTCTGTTAGTGTGACTTTGTCAATGGTCCAAGTCGGACCGAAACGTCGTCGTAAGCTTCTGTCTTTTATGTGCGGGTTATTTGTGTATCGTTCCAGTCACGGTATTGTGCCTTTTTGTTATTTATCGTTTATCTTATCATTATAATAAAATATAAATCCAAGCCTTTCAAAAAATAAATCGGTTTTAGCACAGCCTTCAAAATAACACTCAGTTTTTCTCTTTACTGCCTTATTCTCACCACCATAATATCAACATGTGATCACAAGAAGATTCCCCTAAGATCTTTCACCCTCTCTCTTTTCTTCGCTCCTGCAAAGGGCTTTGTCTTCTTTTTCTTCCTCTATTTTTTTCCCTCGCTTCACAACCTACCATTCCCAGCTACGTACCCATGTGTAGGACAGTTAAGCGTCAGAACCAAGAGCTGAGACTCGACCATACTAACAGTTATTCTCAAAAGACTTTATCTATCCGATTCTTTCCTCTATATTTTTCACCTTTCTCATTCCCTCTACTCTGCCTTACCATCTGTGCACGGATACCGGTCCCCAGATGGCATTTTTTGCACCTTCTCCTCCTTCAACACAAACAACAAATCAATTCCATTTCAATTAACTCATATCCCAACTTTCCCATTTCGTCGCTTGAAAATAAAAAGTTCCCGCAACCATGGGCACTCCACCTACACCAGCTCATCGATACTTTACCACGAAATGTTCTGCGCAGAGCCAAACGTTTCTCTCTGAAGGGAGTTTTCTTACGTCTAAGACTTTATAATGTCCTTCAGACTACTTCTGTTTGGAACAAAAAACTAGTTTACAAACATAGGTTTGCTCTGAAGATGGAATTTTTACAATACTTGTTGGCAAGTCTCACTTCTCGCCATTCTTATTCTTCTCTCCTTAACACTTTTTACTCCTTTTCCTTCACTTCCAGCAAGACCCCAGGGGGTCCAAATAGCCCCCTCGATGCTCCAGTAAAATTGCAAATTGACATTCAGGAAGCAGCGAGTCATTCGTCATTGTTAAAGAGCTGGAACGTTAGTTAGTTGATTCCTAAGAACGTTTGAGTATATGTTTTGTGTTTGTGAAAGATTGATTGATAAAATGACTACGCAGGGTTGAAATATATATATTCTGTGAAAAATGCCATTTTCTTTTGATTCCTTCAGAGTATAGGGAACTGAAGACTCGATCTCCCTTTCACTATTCACGAAACAAATATGCTATCTAACTAATTTCTAGTTCTTTTCAGCTATGGGTTAGCAAAGAACGAAGGAAAATAGTGGAACGATGGAGGCTAGTTACTCCTTCAGGAGATTAAACTAACTTATATCCCTGACCAGAACCCCGAGTGTGACCACCTGACAACATCAGTTGGCTTCAAATCTGAAATGTCGAGAAAAAGGAAAAGAGACGGGACTGAGATCGGTGCAGAGGAATAGAAAAAATGGCAGAAAAATTATCAGTTGGTCTGAAAGTGTTGTGGGGAATTGAGAAAGCATAGAATAACAACGGGAAAAGTTGGAGAAAGTTTCAGGGGTGGAATAGTCTATGAAGGGTTAGAGTGTGTGGTGACAGATTAGAAATGGTTTGGGAGTGGTGGGGATAGATTAAAAAGGGATTGTGGAACTGTTGGGACAGTTCAGAGAGAGGCTTAGTGGGGATAAATCAGAAGGGGATGGAACAAGATGAAGATAGCTAAGAAAACACTACAGAATAATGAAGACAATTTAGCAAAGGCTTAGGAGAGTAGTTGGAACTATAATGATACGTTAGACGCAAAGTTGGGCAAAATACGGCTCGCAGGCCATATCTAGAACTCCAAGAAATACTCTCCGGCTGGCCACTGTGTCTAAGAATTTAATAAAGCTTATAGTGACTCCAATTTAGGAGATAATTTACCTTGGTTTAATTTTATCCTAACCAGGATCGGGATTTTGGCAGTCATGGTGGCAAGACCTGGCGATCCTTGCCCGATTTAATATAACAAATGAAACATGATTTCAGTACACATTGTTTCTTTGGTTGTCCCTCTGTTGGTGCCAGGGAGAGTGCATGTCAGCGCCGCCTATGTTCCAGCGTTCGAACCTTCAGGTGCCCGCCTAATATACCCGGAACTTCTCTCATATCTTGGCTCTTTGTTTACTTCTGGCGCAGGAGGTGGGTCGGTTCCTCTACTACGTGGATAT